GCGTGTATACGTGACGGGCGTATGAATGCGTGCACGTACACGTGTACGTGCAGTGTACGTTGCAGCCAACACGATAAGATCGTGCCGAAGGTGCTTGCGCAATCTGGAGTAGCGATTACCCGGAGAGACACGCTCGCGAATGGATAGACCCGTTGTCGCCGCCGTCGCCGTCGCCATCGTGGCCGCCGCCACCACCACCGGCGAACTTTTACTCGCACGCCGTGAACAGGGATATATGCCAAGAATACCCAATACCGCGGTAGACGTCCACGTCACTCCCGTAACACCAGAGGTCAACAGGCAGCCCCGGTGTCCGCGGTTATGAATTTATTGAAGTATTTATTCCCACGTACGTTGATCAGACTTGTGCGCTGACTGAATTAATGCTAATCTGGGGTCGACTAATTAACCTTTCTTTCTTCGTATGTGATATATATGACATATTAGAAGGAGAGTATTTTTTGAGATAAAAATACTCAAGCGTCAGTCTGATTTAATTGTAGCGTTGCAAATAATACTCCGTTATATTCGTTATATTCGTATCAGTAACACGATATCTATGTAGGAAACGAAAATTGATGTTTTCTAACGGCGCTATATATGTATACAGAAATGGTATATGTCAGATTTCCCGAGAGTTGATTTATTAAACTGACAGCGCATACAGGTGATTTTTCGTTGCGCGGACGCGGGCGTGCAGCAATGCCGAGAGTATATCTCCGATTTCTTTTCACGTCAGCTGTAACGAGTGATGTTCCTTATGTAAGCCTTTATAGGCTTGTAGACTACTACGTAATCGCTATTTATTTTTACTTAGGAAAATTGTAATATCATAAGATTGTATTGGTTAATGATCGCCATGATTATACCAATGACGACGAATCGATCTTTAAAGATTTGCGTCACTCCGATGGATTATATAAAGGGTATTTTATAAGTATTTTATATATTAAAAGGTATTTTATACATATGTGTGTGAGAGAAAGGCTTCAGCGCGTAATTCTTTTCGAATTAAGAATTATTTTTTAACAATAATTTTATTTAGAAAATACGTTATTATTTTTAAATAAATACATCACGAAAAAAAGATTAGCTACTATAGCAAATTGTAAAATATGGACAGCTAACATTTTTTTTGCAGCGAGAGCAAGAGGTTTTGCTACTATTGCTAAATTATAGCTCTCGCTGCAAAAAATGTTGGGTGTCACTAAATTTGCTACAGTAGCTAATCTTTTTTTCCGTGATCCTTGCTAAAAGATTTTTCAAGCAAACTTTCTGTCAGTAAATATAAAACAAAAAAAATGAAGTTTCGTTGCATATTGCCGTCTTTAGAACTCAACTGTCAAAGCTCATCAAATTCGATACCAGGTATCTTTCAGCGGGAAAAACTCGATCCCATCAGATTTTTCAAGAAATGCGCTTCCAGAGTTTACTGGCGATCCTCAAGAGGTGCCCGGCATATATCGCGTATCGCGAAATCGCATCTCGTTGTGAAACATTTTACCCGCGCGGATCGAATCGATTCTTCGGCGTAAATCGTAGTTCGGTAAAGGAGAGAACGCGCCGCAACGGCCGCGGCGCGGCGTGTCGGCGAGGTAAATATAGTTTTACTTGGCACGCGAGTTCTAACGATCACCAAACGCAGAGAAAGTTCTTCTAAGCGTTCCGTGACCTTTCGTATCATTCCGGCGGCACGGAAAAAACAGCGGTCAAACGAGGGTGCAACAACGCGGCGGACTTTCGCCGTTTCACTCGCACCGGCGCGCGGCGCACGCCGAAACGCCGCGGCCGTGCCGTGCAAATCCGACGTACGTTATACGTGTATACGTAATACCTCGACGCAAGACGCACGTTGCAACGTTTAATCTAATCGGCCGCGCGTTCTTTTCCCGCCGAAGGACGTTGGCGCGATTCATCCTGTCGCGCGCTTTGCAAACTCTGCACGATACGATACGATAACTCGTCAACGAAAATAGACTCGTCGCGATTAAACGGGGTTGAAAAAACCTTGATAAAACAAATTGCTCGAAGATTAGTTAGAAGGTATTTGACATTATCTTATATGACGCCAATAATAATCATTTCTCGAAATTTTATATGATTCTTTACATCCTCGGCACGTCGGAATAGATCAATTGCACAGACGTCTCGGTGACGATTTCGCGGGGAAAAAAATGATTGACTCTCGCGAGAAGCGTTCCCCATAGAAGTAACGTTAGAAGTTCGATCATTGATGCCGATCGATCGGACAACTCTGGAACACCCTGTATACCAGGATACGGCGAAGCGAAAGGCGAATACGACACGCGGAGTGTTCTATCGTGCTCCGCGCGATGTAGGTGGAGCCGTCAAGGTGGAGCGCTCGATCTCGACTCATCCGAGATGAGAGGCGACGGCGACGGCGACGGCGACGGCGACGGCGACGGCGACGGCGACGCGTCGGGTCGTGTCGGGTCGCCTCGTCGTCGCGACCGTGATCAGCGAACGGATATATACCGATACCATTGTCGCGCGATCGCTCCGCCGCGCCGCGCCGCGCGATATACGCCCGTATACCGCTACGGGCTAACGCCCGTCCGCGTCCGTACGTTCCCGTTTCATTTTCTCTCCTCTCCCGAGACCCGCTCCGAGCGAGCGAGCGAGAGATTTTTCTCGCCCTCGCTCTCTGTGCCCCTCCGTTTCCCCCTCCCTCCTCTCTCTCTCATTCTCTTTTCTTCCGTGGCTCCTTCAATCGCCGCCGAACTCCGCCGAGCCGCGGCCCCTGACGCGTTCTTACGATTTCTCGGGTCGCGCTCTCGGTCACTTACTTCTCCCTACCTTGAGAAACGCCCGCTCGGCGATTCGGCGGCGATTTCGTGTCCGAGCGCGCGGCGCGCCGCGAGAGAAAGGAGAGGAGAGCCCGAGCGCTCTCCGAACGAGACGCGTCGCGATGAGACGAGATCGAGATCGGGATCCGAGGAGAAAGAGATGAAGAAGGATGGAGAGAGAAAAAGATAGAGAGAGAGAGAGAGAGAGAGAGAGTGAGAGAAAGAAGAAGGGGGGAGAGGGAGAGCGGGACTCGCGGTTCATAAGGAGCAGTGGTGCCCTGTCGAGATAAAACGTCCTCCTCTCAGCTCATAAATCTTACGGATTATGAACGCTCGCGTTATCTTTAATTAAGGCCGCACACACACACACACACAAACAACCAAAATATAAATAAAGTATATTTTATCGACAAGTTTCTTCGCGAATTCTTCAATAATCTGTTCGTAGCGAGAAACAATAATCGTCTCTAAAAATTTCGATATATCTTCTTGTAATGTATGAAATTAATCAGGTCAGTAACTCCGTACGACTCCGTACGCCGATATTCAGAATTCGCTTATCGAACGCGACGATCGCAGTTTCGTGCCGAATATCTATAAAAGATATTTAAAAAATGCTAAAATATGTGCCCTCTTGCGAAAGTTCAAACACACCTACCGCTCACCGTCTACCGTCTACCCCTTTACGTACGAGGTATATCATTTCTGCAGTATATTTCGATACGTTTTTTTTTTATAAGTCGTACGCGTTTATCATTTTTTATATAATATATATTTCATGTAACAAGTAATCGCGTATCTCTTCAGGAAACACGTGACATTTGTCAGTCAATGCGAATATGCAATATGCAAATGTAAGTAAACAAACGACAACCGCCAAAGCCTCAACCTAAGACTACGAGGCTAAGGCACAAAGGGACTAACTTGCGTAAAGAACTTGTACAAAGAAAATATATAGCGAACACATGAGATCGGGGAAGTCTCGAGGGAGCGGGAACGTCCTACGTTGAGCGTCACTGGTCCATAGAGTATCGTGGCGGTGTGCCTATAGTAGGGACATGATGGAAGAGAGCGGCGCGGGGGAAGACGGGACACGTGGACGCGGAGGGGGAAGGGGAAGGGGGGCTCAAGGCCGGTCGCGCTGTCATGCCAGAGAGCCTGCGCGCCGAAATATCAACAAGCCTTTTCTCTACTCCGGGAGCTGGCACGCTCCGATCGCCGATCGCTTGATCGCGCGCGCGCGCGCACCCGCACGCCTTTCTCGAGAGGAATCGTGCATTAGTCTAAAGACCTACGAAGAAAACTACTTGTAAAATCGTGTAAGATCGTGCGGTTTAACGTCCGAGAGCCGGACGAGAGGTGAGGGAGCGTGTAACGCGGCGAGGCGCAAAGAAGCGAAGAGAAAGAGAGAAAGAGCAAGGCAGAAAGAAAGAAGGCACACGCGTGTGCGTGTGCGCGCGCGCGCGTGCATGAGTTTCGGACAGGTGGCATGGACTATATGGTGGTGGCTGACAGCTGATAGCTCGCGAAACCCGTATCGAGAGGTTACGAAACTCGGCGGTGTCGCGATGAGGTACCGCGATGGTAGGGCACGCGAAAAACGCGAGAGACGCAGACGTGGACGTAGACGCGAGAGTCAAGTACGTCCGTACGTAACGTGAGGTAAACGTAGGAACCCCCCCCCCTCCCTCGCACGTGGAGGAGAAAGATGGAACGGCGCGTAACCGCGAGTGTTCCAAAAGTGTTCGCATGAAAATCGCCGCCAGGTGTGCGACTCGATCGAGCCGCGGGTCTCGCGAAACTTTGGTCGCGTTTCGCTTCGACGTCTAACGCGAAAAAGAATGCGAAAAAAAGGGGGGCGAGGGAGAAAGGGGGAACAAAGTACGCGCGAGGGAGAAGAGGAGTGAAGGAGACAGACGCAGGGGGAAGGTGAAGCGCGAAAAGGACGCGGCGAGAAGGAGGAAAAGCAGCCGGGCGGGAGGGGGGAGGCGGGAGAGGGCGGCCGCGAGGGAAGGGGAAGAGAGGAGCGCGGTGGAGACGCGAGGGGAGAGTCGAGGGGTCATCGAGAAACATAACCTCCGTACGTCCCTGTGCCGTCGGTCGTCGGAGTCGCACGGCGAACGGACCTTTAATGTAACGTGTAACGTTACCGTCTCGCTTTTTAGGGAAAACAAACACGGGAAGCGCTCTTACCTCGTCGCACGGCGCGCCGTGGAGCTCTCTTTTTCTCTTTATCTATCCGTCCCTCTCTCACGCTCGCTCTCTCTCTCTCTCTTTCTTTCTTTCTTTCTCTCTCTCTTCGCTCGGGATCTCGCCGTGACGGTGACGGTGAACGTGTCGGGCCGTACGACCGTACGACAGCCAGCTCGGGGGGGAAGAAGTTAGTAAGGCACTCCTGACAGTCTTTTTCACGATGACGTATACGCGCGGCACCTAACTATCCTGTCGCGCGAGCACAGCGAAGGGCGATCCGCGAGCGAGAACGTATCACGTCGCACTGGTTCGCACTGTACCGATCACACTCGCGTGGTACGTGAGGGAGAGAGAAAGAAGGCGAGCGAAGGAGCGGAGAAACGAGCGAACGGAGAGAGGAGACGAGATGGAGAGAGAGAGAAAAAAAAGGAGAGCGAGGGAGGAGCGTGGAGGAGAGACGGCGGCACACGGAGCACCTTCGCGCCGTTCGTGCTCCCGGTGGACGACGCGCGACGGTCGACGTCGCGTCGCGCGCGCGACGGAGGTAAAAAATACGGACGGGCGAGAAACGCGTCGCGCACGCACGCACGCACGCATGCACCTCTTCTCTCTCTCTCGCGCGCGCGTCACGTTACAACGGCGCGACGAGTTACAGCTCTCGAGCCACGGGCGGTCACGGGTAGCCACAGGCACGGGCCACCTCCGACTCTCCGCTGTTACTCCGACTCCGGCTGGTGGCACCTCCGCACACCACGAGTTCGCGCTCGACTGTCTTTCTCTTTCTCTCTTTCTCCTCTTCTTCTCTCCCCCCTTCACCCCCCTCTCTTCCTCGTCTCGCTCTCTCGCCACGGACCTTCCGTGTGTGTGGCCCCCTCGTACCTGCGTCCTCTCTCTCTCTCTCTCTCTCTCTCTTTCCCTCTTTCGCCCTTTCCTTCTCCCTCCCTCTCGCTCGCTCTCTCGCGAGTGCGTTCTCCCCGCCGCCCCTTCCCGCTCCCCCTCTCTCTCTCTTTCTCTCACGGGTGACCGTGCGCCGCGAAGCCAATGCCGATAGTACAGTACACCGTCGCGCGATGCCGACACCGCCGACGGCCGTTCCGACGCGACGCGACGCGCGTCGCCGTGAACGCCGTCGCCTTCGGCCGCTCGCCGGCCGACATGGCGGTTGGATGGTTGCGGCGGTTACGAACGGAACGGGGGTCCGCGCGCTGGAATTTCCGGTTACGTATGTATGTATCGTGCGTGCCGCGTAACAGCGGCCGCGCGTAAAAATGGAAAGTTTTCGCGATAACGCGCGTCGCACGTTCGCGATAAATTCCGCTGTATCGAATCGCGTAATGCGATAAACGATAACGCGATTCCGATGAAAATTGTTACGGCGAGCCGCGGAACGTGAAACCTCGCGACGCTCGCGACGTTTCGCCGTATACGCGCGAAAAGAGAGCACCGTACGTATACTGCGAAATACTTTAATTTAGAAATTTGATTTAAAAAGGCGAACTTCACAGCGCGTTCCGCGCTTTTTTGTTTTCGAGAAAGTCCGTCTCGTCGGGAAGACGCGCTCTAAAGTTAATGACAGTAGATTACAGATTCCGATTGAGCATGGTATACCCGGTGGTCAGCGGACTCGCGGCGGAAAACGCGTGTTAAACGAACGAAAATCGCTTCGCGGTTCAATGCTCGAATCTGACCGAGATCGCCGTGCGGTACGCTTCTCCAAGCCGCACGATTGGCTTTTCGACTCGCTCGTTAAATTCGTCGAAAGAAAAAGCTTAATACGGAAACGCGATTCCCTAATTTCTCGACTTTCCGTTATCTGTTGTCGAAGACACGAAAATTCGGTGCGACACATCGTAGGATATTTCGCGACGATCTGGAGATAAAAAAAAACATACGTTCGTGTTTCTCTTGCAAATTTAATTCTTCATGTTTATCGTAGACCTTGACAGAAGTACGAGATGCGATATATACCAAGTTCCAAGTAAATCACTTATCGTTATCGAATCTAGATGTAACGACAAAAATGCGCGGTTCTATGAAATTTATTTTAAGAAAGAATGATTTACTCGGTTGACACAATAGATTGTATGTAGCGAGACGTACATTTAAAATATACATAAAACAAATAAATTTATCGTATATTGAATAGGTATTATCTTAAAATTATAGATTGGAGTAACGATCGAAGGGACGGAGAGAGAAAGCGCGAGAAGAATTGAAAAAAATATCGCTTCATCGTTTTCGGTGGAAATGCAACGGTAACATATATACTTTATTCGTTACTTTGTATTATATACACATGACGCGTAAACATCGACATTCACGTCGGAATAATGTGTTATATATCTTTTCTTAAATAAAAATAAGTCCGGATGCGGCGTAGCCCGACGGTATTAATCATCGGGGGATCGATCGACCATGCACGATCATCTCCGACATTCTTCGCATGCCTCTATTCTACTTTCGAAGAAACGCGTGATTCATCCGGCTAACGCGCATCCCAAAAATGCCCTTTTTCCTACGTATTATAACTGCCTACGCGTTTGTTCCACGGTCAAGTAGAATCGTCAAAAATATTTTCGACCGTCGACCATTATCACGGTCATTAGCCTGAATCTTATTGTTTAAGATTGGTTTCGAAACAGTGAGAAGCTAAGATATACAACGTCACTTGGAAAAAATCCCAAAGCAGACCAGTGTCCAAAATATCGTCCTTATCGCGCCACGATGCTTTAATTACGGACGACGCGAGGTAAAATCGGTTTAACTTAATAGAGAAGAGCGATGTCTCTTAAAGCGAAATATTTTTACGAAATTTTGCATCGTACTATATAAAAAAAAAAATATTAAAAGAGATACATATATAGGAGGAATGGGAGGATTACCGTAGAACGCAATTTATTATCGAAATATTTGCAATTGTCTCACTTAAAAAAAATCTGAATTCTAACGCAATGTTTTTTTAATGTGCATTACATAAAATTGGAACAAACAGAAAATGCCATGTGTGCCGCAACAGAGAATTATTAAAGTAACAGTAGTAGAATATGTGGAAATAAAGACATAAGAAGCGAAGAAAAAGTGATAATTATATAGCAGGTCTCTCCGTAATTAAGACACTATTGTGCCCTCGTCAAAATCTATCCGAACAATAACTTTTACGCGCGGTCGCGCTTACATTCAAGATATACGTGCAGCGCGACGCACGCTAATAGCATAACAATGACAAAGATTTCCATGTGTTCTCTCGTACGAGGACGAGAAATCAGGTACGTGCGATCGGTTTCTTTTTTTTTTCTTTTACTTTTACGTGATCGATCCTGTTAAGAGATCACAATTAATGCAATCGACTGTGGCAAAGCACCAACAACTACGGCGTCTATTTTTTGCATGGCGATGGCATTTGCGACGGCAAATTCGTGGTTGGTGTGGGTGTAGGACTGCTGCTGCAGGACCTGCTCACTACACGTTGAGGTTCGACGGTCAGGAAGGTTCTGTCGGAGGTCGGTGGCGCGGAGACGATTTCCGGCTCCGCGGGACTCGGACACCTCCTCTGACTGCAGTTGGACGCCGTGCTTCTCGACAGGGTCTGCAGCGGTATCCGGTAGATCCTTATCGGCTTCCAGTCGCCTTGACTGTCTGCGAAAGGCAGATTCCCCCGGATTCGGGGAGGGTTGACCTCAATACGTTTGTCAAGCGTTCGGAGATAGCGATCGGATCGATGAGGCATGAGGATTTCGGGTTTTAATGGGGGCAAGAGAACCAAAAAGACCACGTACTTGGAACACTCGATCGAGAGGAGGACGAAGACGGCGGTGGGCTGCAGGGCATTTCTTCCTTCTCGAGAGGTTTCGAATCCAATCGAATTCGCTCGCATTTTCCTGGGAAAAATTCCGGCGCCGTGGTCGCGAAGAAGATGTCTCGCTTCGAGGTGATCAAGTTAAGATTGGGCATGGCGATCGTGTGAACGAGGTTGCCGTTTATTATCAATCGAATCTCCATCGTGTCGTTAGTGAAGGCGATCACATATGGGAAGGCACAGGCTGTCATAAACAAATGCAACATCTGTCAAGAAAGACGTCGATATATGCTGTTTAAGTAACGAAAGATTTTAATGCAAATTCCCATTTTATCTCATAATGTTTATTATGATTACGTTATATGATATAATACGTATAATTTTTATAAAATATTTTAAATATTGTCTCACCTACGGCTGTCGGCATCGAATTCCAATTAAAATCGAATTCGGTTGGCGCAGCGTTCTCTTCTGCCAGCTTTTGAAAGTGGCACGTATCTAAAGCAAGTAAAGTTGAATATCGATGGACATCTATGCATTATGGATCGCCGTTAACTCTCAAACCGAAACGCCAGAAAAGATAATTAATACTAGAACTACCAAAGCAGTTCAAATGGACTAATTTGAATGTATAACGATGCATTTTTTTTTTTATTTTCCGTGACTTTTACTGCACTATATAAAAGGCAAAATTGATCTATTTATTTTCTCTTTTCATCCCTTTTTCAAGGGTATAGATACAGTGTATTTTTAAATAGTAAAAACTGATATACGCGTTAATCATCGATGGTTCTAAATGCTAAAGATGAATGTTCTCCGAAATCTCTCGAGTATTTCTTGCATAAACAAATTATGAATTATTGCTTGAGCTTGAGATATCGATGTCTCGGGTTAAGAGTTAAAGTGGAACACGCGACCTACTATTGTAACAAAGTATCAGTTCCGGCTCCTCGTCCTCACGAAGATCCAACGCCGCCACCAGGTGTGGCTTAGGCGTTGCTTCCATGTGGACTATCCTCGAAGTACCGGAAGCGGAGATCAATTCGAAGTGATGACGGGCGCCGCAGCACAGTGTCCACTCGTTCGCCGGATCGGCGCTCTCGATCATCGTTACTAACGATGGTGTTTCGCTCGCGGTGAATTCCTTCAGTAGTAGAAAACCGTCGACGGTGTCGGTGTCGGCTGACGAGCACCAGATGGTCCAGGCTGCGTTGTGCTTCCACTGGAGGACCGTGAGTCGGCGGCCAACGACCACGCACTGTTTCGTACCACAACCATGCATAATCTTGTCTCGCAATACAAACTTAAAATAATGATAGGACAGGATAGAAAGAGAAAGGGGAGTAGTTTAAGTAAATCTTAAATCTGCCGCTGTCCGATTTTTTGATCAACTGTCTCCGACACGCTTTCTTACCATGCGCAAGTGCGAGCCTCCGGGTCTCGTGATGCTGTACAATTGACATCCCCGTGTACGCCGCAGTTTCCTCTCCTTGATATGCGCTCGATTCCGAACGGCTAGGGCGCGAACGCGCATTCGTGTTCGCGAACGCGTCACCGGCTGAAACTTGGCGGTAGCACGTGCGAACGCGTTGTCGCACTCGTCAGCGTCGTCCTCGTCGCAATCATCGTCCTCGTCCTCGACGTCTTCGTCGACGTCCTCCTCCTCCCTCTCCCGGTCGTCGTTCTCACGATCGTTGAACAACTCGGCGCATCTCACGGACGCATCGCTCTCGAACTCTCGCAGCCGGAAAACGTAAACGCTCTCCTTGCCTTTGTCGCCGGCGCGGAACAGGAGTATACCGTGTTGCTCGACCACGTCTAACTGCTTGATCTGCACCGACTCGTCGAAGAGCATTCTGTGCGAAAGCCCGTCTGGAAAGAAAATCGACAAACGTATAATTGATTGGAATTGAATTTATTTTAATTCGAAATTTGAAATTTATTAGAAATCTATTTGAAATTTTGTAATATTTCCGATAATAGCTATTGTTTGTTGCAATAATTCCCAAATTGGTTCTTCGATAAATTACTTACTGTTGCTTTTAATACACTACACTCTACTTCGTTGTTATTTGATACACAATCGAAGCTTTCCTCGATCGCGAAAAAATTGTGTCTTGTTAGATCTCGGGCAATCAGGTTTTGAGATAATATATACGTGTTTCGTGAATTATACCTTCGATGAGAAACGTTCCGTTTTCCGAGGCGAGGATCAGCCTGTTCTCCAGCCAGACGTCACCGCAGACAACTTCGTTGGGAAAGTCAGGATAGATGCATCTCGGTTCCCATGGCCTGGGCTTTAGAGGACCGACGGTGGCGAGAGAAGTGGGTGCGAGGCCACGCATGATAGCTTCCAACTTCAAGGCTTGTCCGACTCGCACCATCTCGACGGCGCGCGTCTCTTCTCGCCGTCGACCCGGTGCCTCCACGACATCCGAGAGTGCTCGGCGATTTAGCATGCTCTGTTACGAAATCATATTGAGTTGACTCTTTTTTTTTTAAACATTATCCTTTTCGCTTTGACTATTTAGCTAGGCATTATTGCTTCCTAGCACTTTTTGAGAAAAGATATTATTTAAGTGTTATATTATTTAAATATTAATATTACCTATACATTATTTTCAAAATATTAAATATTGATATTATAATTCATATTATTGCGTTATTACACTTCATCATGATTGTAAGTAAAATTAATGGAAAGCGGGTGAATACAAGCGAGAATAATTAAAAGGGCAGCCTCTGTAAAATAACTTACGTTGCTCTTGCTGTCTTGCGAATGTTCCTGGTACATGTCCCGCAATAGGGTGTCGAGGGTTCTTTCCCTCTTCTTGGAGAATGTTGGAGTGTCAAATGTAGCTTTCTCGCCATTGATCAACTTAACAAGGAGAAATTCCCTGAGATTATACGGATCCTCGAAAACCGGCGGACAGGGAAGGCTCGGTCCAAATAGAGGTACGTTCTCGTCGCAATAAATAGCGACCCGCCAACCCTTGCCGTCCGCCTCGGTCGTTACCACGGCAAACACGTCTAAATATAATAGAAGATTAATTAACATTCAACTAATGATTTCCTTTCCTTTTATATTTTATATACTTAATTCCACAATATTTATTTTATATAACTACATTAGCGGTTTATTTATTCTATAAAAAATGCATTTTTTCGTTTTTCAAAGAGAGACGCAAATGCGGAATGAGAAAATGCCATTAAAATCATTCTTTCCGTAGCTTTTAACGTCCCTTGCTAATTACTAATCACAAATCGAAGCAAGGACGTAGTGTATTAAAAGCAACGAAAACAGCAAATTTTTAATCGATTTACGATTAGTAATTAGCAGGGACGATAGAAGCTACGGAAAGAATGATTTTAATGGCATTTTCTCAAACTCCATTTGCATTATAATTGGAAATATACGTAACGGAAGTAGGTCAAATGCGCGATATAACGTACGTTGAAGTTTAAAGGAACGCGAACAAAATCTGTAGGCGTAAAAAGGAAAAAAAGGAAGCTGTAAGAAAATTGAAAATCGTTACATGGTATTTTAACTCGTGTGCTCTTTGTGTAAACAACAATAGACGAGGTTCAGTTTAATATATTGTTCATGACCTTATCATGATATTTTTCTTAACTTACGGGTAAATTGACTTCTTATGCAGTTCGGATTGAAAGTATCAATGGCTGATGGATCGTCCGTGTAAATGATGTTAACAATGTCATTGCCGATGTGTCTTTTTCTTTCGAGCTGCTGCGGATTGTCTTTCGAATACGGTAGCATCGTACTAACATGATACATAACTTCGTGACCCGCATAAACCGTGTAATAACTTTCCTTGCCCGTCATATCCCCTGAAAAACGACGGAACGTGCGAGTAGAATCGTGGAAGTAAAGAAAAGATTTCCTTTGAGTTACTGCGAGTTTATTCACGTCGTGAATATAGAGCGAAAAATAAAAAAAAGACTACGAAAAACTGAAGGAAAGTTTTATACTTCATCAGCATTATATTTATGGATATTTTAATATATTATATGTGTATATATGTGTATTATTACAATTATATTCATAAAAACAAGTATAACAATGAAAAATAATCAAACGGTTTGTTAGTTGGAAGAATTGGAGATAGGATAGAAAATTTTCAAATCCTGTCAGCGTAACAATCTGAAGAGACGAGTGACGATTGCAGGCTCTTCTGATTGCAAATCTCGAGTTTGCACCGCCAATAACCATGTCATCAAACGTACCTTTCACATCCAAGCCGCCCCTATATTTGTCCCAACCTTTGAGCCGTATCCTCTCACCTAGGATCTCCAGGAAGCTCTCGAAGCCTGGGCTACCTCTTTCTACGAGCAATGAGAAATGTTTCTCAGGGATCGATAGCGCTATCTATTATCACTTAATTTCCCATCCCACCGAGACTTGTCTTTTGTTCCCGCTGACACTTCCCCGGGCTTACCATTAGACAACATCTCGTCGTCGGTGGTCTGACCCTCTCTCGCGTAGATTACACCGAACTTGAAGTTCACCGAGCCTTCTTGTTCCTCCAACAGTAACAGATCCTGCGAAGGATCATTGAATTAATCCGTACCTCCTTTATGACGCTCGTCCTCGAGCGTGAAATGGTATGAGACCCTTGTAAACGTACCTTTTGCAGCTCGGGTGTGAAAACTTCTCGCGGCGCCTTGTCGAGTTTTTCCAGACTGAAGAAGTTGCTGAAACGTCAGTAATAAATTACCCACGTATTCCCTTTCAATTTGGTGGATATAGAGATAGTTACCTGAGAATTTGTCTGATAGTCAATGTTTTGTTCGCCGAATACGGCAGCGATATTTTCTGCGCGCCCTACATAAAACATCTCTCAATTTACTACAATTGACTTTGTACTTACAATAATAATAATAATTTTATTCTTCGAGATATCAGTCTACCAGGGAATCGATATCGGATATGTTACAATAAAACCGAGTTGAGTTACATCAAATCTAATATCTTTGTATGTTGTGTACAAAGTAAATTGGATATTACAAAGATATATGGATATTGATTTACCATAAGTAAATTGTAGCAATAAATATACTTCATTTATAAAAAAAAATGAAGGCTGAGTTCAACGTAAAGGGACTCTCCACAGTTCTTATACTGACGTGAGAAGAAAGAAAATATGGAAAAAAAAACCGGAGAAAGAAAGGAAAGGCTAAGATCATAAATAATTTCATAAATTTGTCCCAGAAGGGATCCTTCCCGCTACTAAATAATACATTATCTACTCACGGTTCGCCTCCATAGAATAACTCTGTAGTGCGGTACGCATTGATCACCGACTTCGCTCGTGACTACCGAGAGAAAGAGAGGATTCCTCTCCTGGTCAGAAGCGATATAATTTTGGTGCACTGTGCATAAATAAAAATAATTAATATACTTTTTATTTGATATTCTTGATTGTATTATCTCTCTATCGTAAGTTACTTTTTTTTTAGTTCTTGCGAGTTACGAGCTATTACAAAAAATACAAAATATCGTATTCTATGCATAAATTTTCATTAAACGCAACAATGATTAACTCGGTCGAGCGAATAAAGAACGTGAATCGATTTACATAAATGGAACGCTGATGAAATTTTCCATCATATTTCCGCAATATTATTACACGTGGAAAAAAAAACAATTTAAGAAATTAGAGCGCCCATAAAGTTGCGGGCAGAAGTTCTAAACAAAATAACGCATTAATACGTATAATTACTGTAATTGCAATGGTAATATTATGTTACAGATATGTTCAACGTTCAACTTACGTTTGCCCAAGAAGTATTTAAAATACCAGCGCGTTTGGTACTCCGGATTTTCTAATATCGGCGTACTCGGCGAACCGAACATCTGTTGATGGAAAAATCGTTCATCGTTACACACATATAATCCGTGGCAGAAAGTGGGATACGATGAAGGATGAAACGAGGTAAGAACGAGCAATTATGCGAAACGGGACGAATCTCGAGTGGTAGAAGAAAGAAGTGGATCGTTTGATCATTAAGCAACGCTTCCTCACCTCTTCTTTTTCCCCGAGAGAGTCTCCGTTCTCCACTCGAAATCTTCTGCCATTGTCGGCTCCGTCCTGCTCGATCTGCGGCAGCTAGAAAGACATTTTCGAGCGTCGCGATTATCAAATACGTAGTGTAGAATGTCGGCGCGAGTCAACATGTTCCAGTTTCGAATTTGCGAATCGTTATATAGATTCCAAAGCCTTGAAACATGTGCGAATGAAAGTCGGAATGTAAATCTAAAACCGAATCCGGACTTGAAAATCTTTTCATACAGATTTTATAAATAATTTACGATTTCGAGAATTCAATTTTATTTCCACGGAACTGAACATAATCAAATTCTATTGAAAAATATTCCTCTCTCTCTTTCTCTCTTTCATTCACGACTCATTTCTAAATGAAAAAAAAAATAGGAGCTTTCCGTCTCTGATTGAAAATATCGGCGTCGTGAAGGAATTGAAAGACCGAAAGAATGAAATGCATGTTTCTGAAGGGACAAAAAAGTTGAAAAATTATAAGTATAAAATTCAAAGCCTTGAAAGAGAGAGAGAAAAAAATTGTATGAAATACTTCATTATTAATACAAAGTAGTATGCTTTTTACCCGCGGATTTATATTAAAAATTTACATTATACTTTTGCTTGAAATTCTACACTTGATAGGTTTCTTAATTATTTAAGAAATTTTTCTCCTTTCTATTTTCTGGTAAAACTATGTTCTTAAAACTTCGCGTCTGAACGTACTGCGACATCCTCTATCAGCACGAGCCAAGCACAACCCGAGCGCAGCTTCGGCGAACTTATGCGATAAGCAAATCAATAGATAAACAGAAAGATAGAGGGAAACAATGTAATCAGCTTACCGGACGTGTCGCGGATTATCATAGGGCGCTCGTTCGTTTTATCGCAGTGATTAGCGTTTACCTTGCAAAAGTACTTGTGCATACGGCTCGTAAGACTCTTGTAACAAGTAGAGCGAGGCTCTTACCTAGATATATACGTATCTATACTTTTCATTGTTTCCTTACCATTTCAACACTGCCGTAATGGTGTCTCGCCAGGACGCCTCGCCTCGCTATGGTGTCTGTGGTGGATCTGAAACACGATTTTTCACGTTTAGATATAGCTCGAGCCTGCCCGGGAGGATATAATTTTATCTCGGAGATTTTTCACACCAGGCGCTTTAATAAAGTTTACTCGTCCGTGCTCGCCGGAGGCGTAATACGCGTTCTGCAAACACGTTTGATTCTCTACCTCTACGCGTTTTTTTTGTCACGAAATGATTCGCACTTATTCAGAAACAAATGACCTCGCGTAAACGTTTTTTATAGCATCTTTTTGCGACACGTGTATGTACTACGCATTCTTATGGAATCGTTCACACCAGGAAAGGCACGCCTCGTCCGCCGCGGTGAACGGCATTCTCGATCGAGAACACGTACGTTTTTCTATCAGCCTCACCGCGCCCTTCCGCGGTGCTCCCAGCACAATGTTAGCTATTTAAAAACAAAATTACGTGCTGAATTAAAAAAAAAAACGAAAATGTTGCTCGAATTTTCTACTTTACTCCAAAATGGACTCGTAACCGCGTTACGAATCGATTTCTGTGCTCGTAGAGTGACCCAGAATGACCTCAATTTTAATGACAGAGACCAATTCTTTGACCAATCTGGACTTTATTCCTTTGACTAAAATTATTGTGATATAGATAATTTTCAAATTAGATAGATGTCCCAAATAAATAGCTTTTTGCAAATTGAGTTCCCTAAGAAAATCTTTTGAAATAGAAAGCCTCGTTGTTTATCCGAAGTCGTGCGACCTTTTCGGAATTTTAATTTGCAATTTAATTACCGAGATGTTTAATATTGAATGTTGAATATTGCGAGAGAGGTTGCAATAAAAGAATATCTTTCCAAAATTTTTACTGGAAAGAATTTATTACATTGGGCAAATAATCTATGATTAAAACTGAAAGCGACGTTCGTGGCGGGACCGCGTTCTTCGATATTCTCTTTCGCACGAAAGATTAAACGCTATCGGCACGATAATTATCATTGATTCACTAAATGTATCCCGATCAAATACAATCATCCCCCGGCGAGCGAATCGCGTCTACCATATAGTGTGAACGTAATATACGACCCTTCGTTCGTCGACTCAATCCCTCTTGCGCTTCTCATTTTTCACGACATGAATATCTAGGTTAACGAGAAGCTACGTCGAGGTCGAATTGGCCGGGTAATCGGGAGAGGTCGTTACATGAGAGACACAAAGAGGAACAGTTATACTGTTCAAAATTCGGGATTCGCATGGATCGCACAGCGTTACCCGTTAGATCGGGTGACATTTCAGCGACAAGGTTTTATTGGTTTCTGAGTGAAGCAAATAGAGAAAAGATCAAGCAACAAGTAGTGAATTGCTCTTGTTTTTTCAATAAAAGGTAATAAAAAATAAGTCAACTAGTAAATTGATACAAGTTCACGCGGCAAATAAGAAAATAAGTCGAGCACAGCGAGAGAATAACTACTTGTTTATCCTCTTCGAAAAAGGTAATGGGAACATAATTGAGAAAATGGGTCAGTCAACTCGTTACTTGACTCGCAATTTTTGGCATTTCGCGTATAATGACATTCGCCGCTAGAGCAGAGATCACGCATTAGAGCAACATACACATGACTGGCGCGTCGCGGTCGTTCCACCTGCCTAAGTCGGGAGGGCGGCATGATCGATGCCACGCACACCGATCTGGATCTGTTCCTGCGTATCATCTCCTGGACGCTCGAACTAGGTCGCAACGATTCCTCCTCGCTGTCGCTGATCGTGATCGAACTGGCGACCTCGCCGCTCTCGCGTTTCACTCTGCGAGACTTGCTTTTCTCCGCGGAGCTCGCGCTCGTCGAGGATGACGAGGCTGAGGCCGGGTGCGTTGACGAGGCAGTCCCGGAGGAGGCACCCCGTATTCGCGAAACGAGTTTGATATCCAAGCACAGCATTTTCGCCAGTTTCTTTTTTATACGCGTGGCGATGTCTCTACGTATTACGTACAATTTAACAGTATGACTATGCACAACTACGCGGTTTTATTACATACAGCCTGCTCACTGGGAGACTGACTTGGTACGTTCTTCTTTTGGTAGCGTCACATCATCATCATAATGTCGTTGAACAGCCGGCGATGACAACGAGCGTCGGTATCCGCATCGCTGTGCGACTTGTGCGAGCCAAATTGCAATGGAATTGCCACACGTCGCAACGTGGTGAGAATCGCTCAGCGTTACACAGGTGTCGTGAGATTATTTGACAAATCTCGACTACGCGAGGCTCGTTGTTTTTGGATCCCGTCGCTTATGCGCGCCGCCGCTGATGCTTTATATCTCACAGCGTACGCGAGGAATATCAATTACAGGGAACGCCTCTTGCGCCCGTGCAGTGGTAATTTGAATTCTATCTCTCTTGACATCCGGGTCGATTGCCGAAGTCGGTGTTGGGCGATGTCGAAGAGGAGATCACCGATACACACGGAAACGGGAGAAATGAAATGCGATCTAACGTGTCTTATGTGTACGTTTATCCGCCACTTCTGTGATCTTTTAAATAATACAGAATAACGTAACACGCGCTGGGATGCACTTGCACTTATTGTTAGTGTCTTACGATAAATGATATACGTCGCAACTTGCAGATAGTTGTCACACCTGTGAAAATAATTGTCATAATGTGTCACCGTAGATAATTGTATGTACACCGCGATATCGAAGTCAAATAGATGTGACAGCAAGTGACAAAGTATGTTTTCTAAAGTACAATGGTTTTTTCTAAAGTAAAGTTCGGAAAACTATTTTTTTTTTAATTCTATACGAAATAGATAGCTCTTGGAAAAATATATTTATTAACTATTATTTTCTTGTTATTCTTCGTGCTTTAATAAGTGAAAGCATTTTATTCATTCAAAGTTTTTCAATTAAACTTTATCTATATTTTCTTTGATTATGTAGAGTTAGTTAAATTAATTTCTATTCAATGCAATAATAATCTGATGAATAACGACGATGACGATGACGATGATGATGATGATGATGATGATGATGATGATGATGATGATGATGACATGAAAAAAAATGAGCTAATTATTGACCCTACTTGGTTTTGTGATCCTACGCCTATTTGTTAAGAATTTTTTTCATACTAAAGGATAATTTTTTTCCCACACAAAAGCATTAATAAACGATTCATAAAGTGTACGCATATATTTTCCATACGATGAAAATATATTTGTATATTTTTATCGTAAGGAATAGCCAATGGGTAAACTCCCCTTCTCTGAATAAGCAAATTTAGTCAAGAACCAAACGCTTAGGGCAGTCCCGCATTAAGAATATTGATTCTCAAGATAACGACATTCTTGCGGCTTATTCAATTGAAAATACTTATTGCAAACACAGCAGAAAAGCACGATACGTACCATGCGACCTTTACTCGAAGTCGTTACTTCGAATGCAAAAGACGAATTCAAACAACTCTGAAATATTATTAGAATTGCTATTTAAAGAATTGGAGACATATATATATATATAACTGCGTTATCTTTAATCCAATTCTTTAAATAGAAACTCTAATGATATTTCAGAGTTGTTTGAATTCGTCTTTTGCATTCGAAGTAACGAAGAAGATTGGTCAGACCAGCATCTGCTAAGGAACTCAAAGAAATGTTAGACAGTGATATGATACAACAGCAAGAGAAAGATTTGTGCTGAAAACGATGTAAGGAAATGAAGCGCCTACGCCAAGAATAGCACAAATGGCTAGATCTAATGAATGAATAACTGAATTGAGTTCATCGATAGGCGACTCTACGCGCGCGCGGCCGTTCATCTCATAGTTACTTTATCGGACATCGAGCGAAGACATCGATACCACCGGAACGACCTTTTACCTACGACCGAAGCGACCAATATTCGCGATACCGGAGGCCACCGTGATAAGCGATGCGTCAAAGATACACAACAGTACACATTTACATAGGTCTTATGTCCTACCTTTGACCAACAACAGCATCGATCCCTTCCATTAATCTATCGGCCCTATCGTCAAAGGGCCGTTCGTGTGGACATTTCGAGTGATCGACATTTCACATTTGTGTTCGATCCGTAATTCGCGGCATCGGCGATAACAATGGAAAAATGGTCTTTTTTTTTTCTTTGATCTCCCGATCTTGCAATCGAGAAATCCGGGCAGAAGGACAAACGGATGTTGTGGGACGGATATGGCGATTCGATAACCGAGCATGTGAAGCGTACTGCTGTATGTATAGACACGTAGAAGTTACGCTGACACGAGTCCTCGTAACTGCATTCCGTAAATTCTACGGGCAAGTGTCAGGTCGTGGAATATTCGCCGTGGGAAATATCCAAGGTGTTCAATACGCTTTTTCCGCTTTTACATCGAATCGCAAATTTTTCCGGGAAATCCACGGATAAGCGAAGATGCTCTTTGAACACGCGTTATCGCGCGGAAAAATCGGGTATTTAAATCCATGCTGTAAATCAGATCGACAAGATTTGTTTGTTTATGGAACGATTTGCCAGTTCAGCGAGAAATCTTTTATCCTACGTAAATGGTGGAGACACATGAGAGTGATATCGAGCTTCTATTCTTCTTAGTTTCCACATGGGATTTTACGAAATCCTAGTCACTATACTAGATTTACATGACATGAAAAGAAGACACGTTCGTTGTGTCACGTTCTCTCAAATGAGATCGGCTCTTTTTCGTGTCAGAGCGCGAAAGGATCAAGTAAAGCGTTTCACGATTTTCAAAATGGGTCAGAAGTTTCTTTAGAATTAACCTCGCTATTAAGCCTTCTCAAGTACCCAGTTTTTACAAGCTTGGCTTTCCCGACTTTTAAACTAATAGAGATAAAAACTCCACTTCGTAAAACACTTATCTCAATTAAAGCTTAACCTTTTTTGGAATGATATATTGCACTATGCGACATTAAATTATGATTAACGGCATTTAATCGTTTTTTGAATAAATTACTTTCAATATTTCCCCGCTTCCCCCCGAAGAGTTGGGTTTCGAATTCTTCCGAGCAA